TGCGCTCTCCTATTGGTAGAGCGTGTGACATCAACCAATAGGAAAGATTAATCCAACCCAGGTTGGTGCAAACCCGATCGGGCCGAAAACGCTAATAGTCTTCTTCTTCTTCAAAATTAATGGCACTCGCCGCAAAAATGGCGACGATTTCGGCCAAAATCGTAAATAAATCGTGTAATCAAAGTATGAAACATCGGTCACCTCAAACCGGTGAATGGGACGAAATAATAATGTAATCAAGACAAATAATGTAACACAATGCACAGTCGAAGGCGGAAACGCTTTTCAAAAAATGGATGAGATGATGCAATACCCGAAGCGGGCGTGACGTACATCCGTCCCGTTCGAGTAGTCTCGCGAGATCAAAACATAGTACACTGTGCAACTTGCAAGCAATTTCATAATACAGTCATGGAATATCAAAATACTAGTGAGACTATCTATCCAACGGAATTTCCGTGACCGTAGCGCCTATATCTATAATTCGGTCAAATACATGATATTTTAATATTTAATTTAAAATGTCTGGATGACTCACAAACGTTTTTAATGGTACTTCATAACTCTTCATACGAAATACAAACGATTCCATGTTTAAACTTTGTTGAATTTAAATCCGGTTAATTATTTCGGTCAAGTACGTGGTCCAAAAAAGAATGAATAATTGTAATTAATACAATGACTCACAAACCTTTTTATTTGCACTTCAAAACTCTTCATACGAAATACAAACGATTTAAAATAATAATTTTTACACCCGGAGGTTTTGTCCGGTCAAGTACATACGAATCATTCACGCACCTCATTCTATTAGCGTTTTCGGCCCGGCCAGGTTTGCACCAACCTGGGTTGGATTAATAGCGTTTTCTGCACTCCTATTGGTAGAGCGGGTGACGTCAACCAATAGGAAAGATTAATCCAACCAAGGTTGGTGCAAACCCGATTGGGCCGAAAACGCTATATTTTACGTATCCTGAAAAGTTTACTAGGCGTTGACCAATGAAATTATCAGTAGTCTAGTAAATTCGCTCACTTTTGTAATTTTCACCTCATTTCAAGTACAGAATCGACCAATCAGAAGATGTCTAAATAGCCAATCTCGAGATCGATTCTGTATCTTGAAATGAGGTGAAAATTACAAAAGTGGGCGAATTTACTAGATTACTGATTATTTCATTGGTCAACGCCTAGCAAATTTGCTCACTTTTGTAATTTTCACCTTGTTTCAGAATACAGAATTGACCCTCTCAACAGGACGCTTGATTGGTCGCGTTCAGCAGACTCAACTGTGTGGAGCAGATCCGTGAGCGCTCTCTGTTATTGGTGTATTCTTCTAGATCATCCAATAACAGCGAGCGCTCACGGATCCGCTCCACAACAGTTGAGTCTGCTGAACGCGACCATTGACAACCATCTTGATTGAGACCATGGTGTAATAAGACAAGGGGTGCATTCCGTTTCACACATAATGCGCATAATGCATCATTTCTCTTTGTTGTTCGCCGAATGTTGAAGAAGGATAAGTGATGCATTATGCACATCAAGCATGAAACGGAATGCACCCATAATGAAATAAAAATTACCTTAGCCCATTCCTTTGCTGACTTGCGTGGTCCATATGCTGATGTGTTTAAAGAAGAAGATAATTTTTCCCAAAGTTCATCCTAAAAATAATTTAAGTATTGAATTCAAATGACATATATAAAAACAAAACTTATAAGAATATTATTTATGGAAACATACTTGTAAGAAATATGATTAATAATCATAATAATACTTACAATTTTTCGTTTATTTTCCTTGTTATATCTTAAACGACCTCGATCAAGGTGTTTAGTGATTTATTTACTGCGCAGCATTCTGCTAATTTCTTTGTGATATCTCAAGTATTCCGAGTGTTTTTCCATTTAAAATTGTATAACAAATCGCTGGTCCGCGTAACGTAACACGGTAATGCCGCTGCTCTTTTCTAAGCGTCAAGACACTATCATCTCTAGTCTCTACTAAATTCTGGCAATAAGAAAAATTCCATTTTCATAAATATATTATATATTCTACTTATATGTGTATATAAATGTATATATACATATATATATATATATATATACATATAATAGACATTATTTTACAAAGTAAATCAACAAACAAACAAACAGTTGTATTAACAGTTGTTTTAACGTGGTTCAAACTTTTCTTTTTGGAATGGAAATAATTCAAAAATACATAAAGTTATTAGAACATATTTTATTTTTTAAAATAATACTTATTTGTGCTGATAGTTTACTAAAGGTGCGTTCCGTATCGCGCATGATGCATCCATTGTCCTTGTTTAACGTTTGGTGAGCAACAAGGATAAACGATGCATTATGCGCATCATGCGAGAAACGGAACGCACCCTAAGACTGGATCTTCATGCAGACACCGGCGCTTTGGCACAGAGCACTGATTGGTGAAAAGCCGGTTGTGGGGGTAAAATTAACTCCCACCACCCGTTTTTCACCAATCAGCGTTCGGTGTCAAAACGCTGTTGCCCGTATGAGAATCCGGCTAAGGGTGGCACCCAGTTGGACACGGCTCAATTGGACACGAGCCACTCACAGCGCTTGAGACTACAAAGCTCCTAAGCACCGGTCGCTGTGATTGGTGGTGTCCAATCGAGACGTGGTCAATCGGGATCACCCCTTTCACTAAGATGCAGATTTGTGCTGATAGTTCACTAAGAGAGAGATACGATCACAGCATATCCTAAAAAATAAAATCAATAAGATATTAGCATCAGAATTATAAATTGAGAAAAATACGTATTATTCTATACTACAACCAATTTTGTCGTAATCTTTTCTTAATATTTTCTAATTAACATGTATTATTGAGGAACAGATAATATGTTATAATTAATCCCTGGGACAAGTTTTAAGAGAGAGGTATTAATTTTTTTATATTATATATTAATTTATGTTATTTGTAGTTTTAGATCTTACTAAAGAATTATATGGATATTATATACATATATGTATGTATATATTTAATAAGTGGATATAAAAAATGTATAAAAGGCAATATATCTGCATGTTTTTATTGTCAATCTACTTGCATTTAAGCATTTCCTAACCTATAATATTATATATTATTATAAATACTTAAACACATTTATTAACATGTTTACATACTTTATTAACACTATCATTATTAATACTCATCTATTTATTTATGATAATAAATTTTGATAATATATATATAGTATGACCTTGTTATCTTTGTACGAGTATATATCCCATACGTGACCACACGTCCCAATTTCCTTCTCAATTAATATATCTGCCATCACATTGTTTTTAGCATTTGGACTTTAAGTACTTGGGCTTTTATGGAAATATTTTACCTGCCTCGCCATTGTTTAGGCCAACAATAATTCCATATATTTTTTACATTATTTTTGAATAGAAATACATTTACTGTGCTTACCAGCAACGGAACACAGTCAAACACTGTGTGACACAGTGTCGACTTGTAGTTGGAATGCTGCTTAGCTTTATAATTTCACCGCTTGAGTTCAGATTTTATATAACTTAAATTGTTACTATATTTTTTTCGGTATATATGCATGGTAAATTTTATAGACAGCGGTTTATAATAATTTAACTAACAAAAACCGAATTGTATCAAGGGATTTGCAAAGTGCAAACATTAATTTAACCAAAATTCTGTATTCATTTAACGTTTTATTTGATTTACCTGTGGAATGTTATAGTAAGTTTTGAAAACAAAAAATACGTGGTGCTAAATTATAAACATTGAAAATAAATAAAGCATTTACCACATCGCAAGTTCTTAGTAGCGAAATTTATATATTCGAATTGTTCATTATTACAATGATATCGTACGTAGACGTTTCGGCCACCATTTGGCCATCATCAGTAACATATATTAATTAAATAAACATTTTCTCTTTGATTACAAGTCAAAGTAAAATATTTTGAGGCTGACAGATAAAGATGGTTCCTGTTTTTTCTTTCTTTTAAGATGGATAATAATTGAATAAAAATTTATTCAAAAATTGCCTCAAAATATTTTACTTCGACTTGTAATCAAAGAGAAAATGTTTATTTAATTAATATATGTTACTGATGATGGCCAAATGGTGGCCGAAACGTCTACATACGATTTGTAATAACGAACAATTCGAATATATAAATTTCGCTACTAAGAACTTGCGATGTGGTAAATGCTTTATTTATTTTCAATGTTGATTTAGTAAGTATTTACAATTTTTTATCTTATTAAGAAAATTAATTAATTTGATCAATCATTTACATAATTTTATATAGATGAATACGCAAGAAACGACGGCGATTAGTCTTTTAATGAAGAATGTAATAAATACCAGTACAAGTACAGAACAAGAAAATTTAAGTACTAGTGAAACAGATTGGAATAATAGTAGTCATTCAACCAGTAATACATCTTCAAGCAGCGAAGAAAATGATGATATCTTCTTTCCTCTAATGAAATATTTAATCAGTGGACGTAAAAGACATCGGGTTGAACATTACCTTCACGTTGTGGATAATTGGACAGATTTAGAATTTAAGGAGCACTTGCGAATCAATCGCATTATAGCAATTCGATTAATAGGTAATATTTATTTATAAAATAAAATTTTTGTTTTTAAACATTAATTCACAATATTGGAAACCTATAATTCTTTATATATTCTAGATGAATTGCATGATAGTGGATATATTCCTTCACATTCATTTGGAGTTAAACCGATTGAAGCAAAACTCTGTTTTCTTGTATTTTTGTGGCATTTAGCGAACACAGAACCTCTACGAACAATATCAGATAGATTTGACATCTCAATTTCATCCGTCTTTCGAGTAATTCGTCGAGTGACAGCTTGGATTTTAACAAAATTAGATGATGTTATCAAATGGCCCGAAGGACAATATGCCGCATATGTTTGTCAAGAATTTTATGCTAAGAGAGGCATTCCAAATGTAATAGGAACAATTGACTGTACTCATATTAAAATAGAGAAACCTAATGTAGAAAATGCAAGAGATTATTGTAATCGGAAAAGATACTTCTCTGTAAACCTACAAGCTGTTGTAGATTCGAATATGAAATTCACCAACATATATTGTGGTCAGCCGGGTTCTCTCCATGACGCACGAGTCCTGAGAAAATCTCCATTATACAATTCAGCTAATGAGGATAGAGAAGTAATTTTTCCAAATGGAAAATTTATAATCGGGGATTCTGCATATCCATCATTACAATGGCTTGTTCCTCCTTTTCGTGATAACGGTCACCTTGCTCCTCTTGAAACCGAATTTAATTTCATACATTCTTCAACGCGTATGATTGTAGAAAGAGCATTTGGCTACCTGAAAGGACGTTTTCGACGAATAAAATTTTTTTCAGAATATCGCGATTTACCGTTTGTTACAAATACAATTGTAGCTGCATGTATCTTACATAATTTATGTTTAGATTATAACGATGAAAATTTCAATTACGATAATGTGGAAATTGAGGAACTAGACAATATTAATATGAATGATGATCTTGACGAAAATATTAATTGCGAACTTCAAGTAGATCGAAGAATGCAAATATTCAGGGAAATATTCGACCAGGAATAAATTATAGTATGTATATAACTAATTATCATGTATATGTTTTCAATAAAAATATTTGACCATGACACAGTTTGAATACGAACATTATATTTTATTTAAAAACTGTATTCACAATAGTACAATAATAGTAATTTTACTGCAATAGATACAATAGTCTTATTTATTGCAGTATTATGGATATTATAATCTTATTCAGAGTAAGAAACATGTTAGGTTGAACACTACATTCGTATTATAGAATACTGTCCTTTAATAAAAACGCATTTATAAGAAGGTACTTGGCCATAAATAATAATCAACTACTTATTAGAGTTATCACAGATGATTTTCATCATTTTCCTTTCATAAAAGTAATCTTTTAATAATTATACTTAAATGTAAAACTTCATATTGCAAACTTTTGATGTTTCATGCTAAATCTCATTCTAATTGCAACTAAGCGCTGAGTGGACCGAACCCCAAACAAAATATAGAATAATTTTATAAAATTTGAAAAATAAACAAAAATATAAAACTAATGCACAAAGATATTTTAGTAAATAATATGCTTTAGAACAAATTTTACTTATCTCACCTTAGCTGTCTACAACTTAGCTCACGCTTTTAGAACATGTTCTTTAGAACATTTATTATTGAATAAATCACAATTTTGTTGTGCAACTATTGTGTAATAATTGAAGATAAATGATCGTATATCGGAATTCATGGATATACTTTATTATTTTTGTATAATATTTGCACATTTTTATTCGGTATTTTTCAAATACTTATTCACAAACAATAACTAATCTATCTTCAATTATTACTATTTCCAAAACATATTAATAATCATTTTTGACTATTCGTTAGAATCATCATTTCCAAAATATATTAATAATCATTTCCAAAACATATTAATAATCATTTTTGACTATTCGTCAGAATCATCATTTCCAAAACATATTAATAATCATTTCCGACTATTCGTCAGAATCATCGGAGATGTTATTTATATTTGCTTGATTTAATAATTTTTTCAATAACTTGCATTTCGTTTTCTCAATTTTTATTATTTCAGTATGCCTATTTTCTTTGTCTTTCAATCTTTTAATTGCTAATTCTTTTTTTTGCTCTATCTGTTTTCTTTTTAAAGCTACTATTTGTTTTTTCAGCGTAAAACTTTCAATCGCTCTTTCCTCAGATTTCATATGTCTTTCATCACGTGCAGTATCTCTTATTTCTTTGGTTGCTAGAAATTTTAACCACTGTTGTTCAAGGTGTACTTTTTTATTTGCTAAGTTCGACCCTGTTCCATGCGGGGAACGAACTATTGCTGCTGTATTTTTATTATTCATCAATGGCGAAGTAACTGAAATTGTAGCAGTAGAGGCACTGGGACTTGTAGAATGATGTATAACCACATCCGGTGATGATGATTTAGAAACACAATTTGCAATATCCTTTTGGCCTTTTTTTGCTATTATTTTACTCAATACGGTTGGGCGACAATAGCATCCTTATTTTTGCCAAAAATTTCATCTAATTGGTCGTACCATTTAAATTCCATTTTACCTCTGCCGGATTTATTGTTATTATCACAACATTCTTTATACTTTTTTTGCAAGATATTCATTTTCCATCTAATCTGATCACTGGACATCTAATAATTTTTGAGAAAAAAAGAATGACTATTTTAATGAAGAAATGCCGACAGGTAAAGGTTAATGTACATATGTATATGTATAAATATATATTTTACATATATGTACGGGGTGTCCGGTAAAGACGATTACAATGCTCAAGGGTAGATTCTGACAATTTTGAGACAAAAATCCTAATACTAAAATATCGAGGGTATAATAGTTGTTGAATTATAAACATTTAAAGTTAGTAGCGAATCATATCAGACGAAAATCCTAATACCAAAATATCGAGGTTATAAAAGTTGTCGAACATTTAAAGTTAGCAAAATCATGTTTCCTAAAGCTCTCGCGTTCAGATATGGTTGGAATTTTACGTTGTACTATACCTGATCGCTCGAATGTTAGGCGATATGATTCGCTACTAACTTTAAATGTTTATAATTCAACAACTTTCGTAACCTCGATATTTTGGTATTAAGATTTTTGTCTCAAAATTATCTCGAGAATACTTTTAAGCGTTGTTACAATCTTTATTAGACACCCTATATGTATAAAACTGGATTTTAAATATTGTTTCATAGTTAAATGTTCAAAGTTGAGAATTTTTCTTTAAAGACAGTATACAAAAATTTTTTAATTTAGTTTGTAAAAAATATACGTTTCTTTTATCATACCTGGATTTCAAAATCTTTTAGGCCCTCTGATATTGCTGCCCAAATTTTGGTTTTCTTTTTAGGATGATCCAACATATGTATATTGGCTTCATACAGGCTAAAAAGAGCCATTATTGCATTATCAGTCCATATAGCACCTATAAAATATTTAAACAATAGCTCATTTAAAGATAATAAAAAATAAGAAACAGGCTAATGAGAGTCAAATTTTTGCGATAAGTCATGCAAATTAAAATATTTATTACTATTTAATAATAAATTATTTATTAATATTTAATTTGCATGACTTATCGCAAAAATTTGACTCTCATTAGGCTGTTTCTTATTTTATTTAATTGACAATCTCGAGAGTTATATTTGAATTTAATTGTAATAAAAAATAATTGTATTTCGAATATTTGTTGAAATATATGTATATATATATATATCACTTTTACTTTGTTTAGCAAATTGTTCATTACTGCCTGCGGTAGTATGTACCGTTTTCTGCCAGTTACTATGTACTGTAACAATAAACAATAGAAAATAAAGATTTTATATTTTATAAACTGTATGCATAAGAAAAAATCATGCACATATTGTATAGATGTATTAGAGATTTTATATAAAATTTTATTTTTGTTTTTTAAAAGTACTTTAAAATTAAATTAGGAAATTATATATTTTGTTTAATAATTTATACTGTTATATATCAATAAACAAATTTACGTTCATCATTGACATCTAAAGAGTTGTTTGTAAATAAAATGTTGTTGCTGTCCATATATATATCTTTGTTTCTTAAACATTCGTGTATGGATGCTGTATCTAATGAAGCAATACATGCATTGCAATGTTTGCCTGTGAATCCTTTTGTTGCTGTAACTAGGAAATGTGTATTTATTAATATTATATTCAGTCGAATAACTCAAATTAATAAAAGCTATGTGGCACAAGAATGTTCAATATGTTATTAAATTATTGTATAGTAGGCAATACATTTATCTTTATAATAAATAATAAAAATAATAAAAAATTATGTACTAAATACCTTCCATAGTCAAGAACACGGTCCTAATTGTTCAAAAGAGTGTAACTTTTATCACCTTGTTAGTCTCACTGTTTATCTCGCACACATCTATGTTCCGCGAATATATTCGAATATAACCTTAAAATCATTAACAATCTGCTATCAGAATACCACTTCTAGAAAAATAAATGATTTCAAATATAAAACTGTTGGTCATGTTGGTATCCATGGAGAGACGACACAGTCGAACTCAGCATTTTAGCTGTGTATGATTGTGTCGACTTGTGTCGTAGTTGGAAAGCACCGAGTCGTACACTGTGTTACACAGTGTCGCCTGTGTCTCTTGCTGGAAAGCACCCTTAATCTTAAATAGAAATACGTTTAATCTTAAATAGAAATACATTTTAATTATATGTAATTATTTGTGTATTTAAATTTCGCGGGTGCATTTGGACCCAAATATGATTGGTCGAAGCGCATACTACTGCGCATCCACGGGAATGTTACACATGGCCGGTATTCATAGTCGATTCTTATTTCAAGATCGTCTTAAGTAATGTCTTAAGACGCTAATGCAGCCATCTGATTGGTTCGTTACTTCTTAAGACCGTACTTAAGACGGTCTTGAATATAAGACCTGCCTATGAATACCGGCCCTTGTCTTATTACACCACGAATGATTCAACGTTCAAATATGGAAGTCGGATTTAGAATTTGCGACGCCATTCGAATGACTGGAGACTGAATTTGCGCAGGTTTTCGCAACGTGACGATAAAGTAGTTATTCGAGTCAGAGCTGTAAAACTTCAAGCATTCTCGAGTGGTTTTGAGTTGTATATATACAATCACGTAAAGATAACCTAGTTGTTTTCCATCGTGTAGAACGTTTCTTCATAAACATGGCCAAGAGAAAATCTTTAAATCGTGTATCTCGATACTCCAAACGTAGATCCGTCGATTCTATCGGTTCTGGACATCTCGATCCTGATACATCCATCGTGGATGAAGGTAGGAATATTTTTCTTTCATCATTTCCACAACAACATAACTAAAAATTATCATTTTTTTGTTACTTGCAGAAGATCAACAGAAACATAAAGAAAATAAACAACGTATTTTATAAGAATACACTTTTATTTCACTACAATTATTATAGTTATTATGTTTATTATACATTATTATTATAAATTATTATATTGAAATTATTTTTCAAATTTAGTATTGTAACATTTTAATAATATAAAATGTTAAAACTGATTTTCTGAAAACTTTGTTTCTTAAATTACGTTACTGTAGCAAATAAGTGACTTTATTGTAGGACATTACCTTTGTTATAGACAAATTAAAAGTCGAAAATGGTTTTCATGTAATTTTAACACATTCTTCTTTCTGCAGAACAAACATTATGGTGGAATAACTTGGAAAAGAATACGTTTCGTCCGCATTCCATGATTCCTAGTGAAAATGAAACGCCTAGGATGCTGAGGTCTAATTCAAGGATTGATATTAGCCAGAGTTCCGATTCTACGGCATGGTGGAAGAATTTGAATTCTGATTCCGAATCCATTGCTTCAAAAAGCTCGAGGCGCGGCGCAGGTATAAATAGGCAGAATATTTAATTTATTTAATTTATTCTTTTTAGTTTTCTTGAACTTCTTTTATGGTTTATCTTTTCATTTTTTCTTTTCAAGTTGAAGAGTAAAAAAGGAAAGCTGAACTGTGCAAAAAGTTCAGCTAAAAGAATAAATCTTTCAACTCTTTGTCTGCAATCTGGATCTTTTTTGACGCAAGCAAAATTTTACTCAGATTTCTCCAAATCGAAACAGAACAGAGTTCTGTTCCTCCTCCTAAAATATCTTGTTAAAAAACTGTTTGGTAATGTAATAGAGATGTTGAAAAATAACCTTGAACTTTTT